ACATGTGAAGTTGTTAAATAACGTAAACAACTAAAACGAACTTTTTCTGGTCGATACGTTTCGGTTTCCAATAGTTGGGAAATGAGCGAGGCTTAGGACTCGAAACCGTAGTACTCTTTTGATCCTACACCGCATCAGATAAAGAAAATTATCCGAAGATTATTCATATCGCATATGTAAACACTTACAACTGCACTGCTTTTGGCAAATTCCGTATTGACGGCCGACAGGAGTCGGATGATGGAAGGTGACATTCGCAGTTCCATTGGTGACATTTTCAACACAACATTCGTAGCCTTCGTGGGTGTATCTATGTGCATTTCGATACCAATATTCATTGGTTTTAACACCTAAAAGAAATGACAAAAGAAAAAAGTTGGAAAATCCTCGAACAGTATGTATTCTGCTTGCCGATAGACTAAGAATTTTCTTGTTTTATAAGTGTGAAAACTTTGCAAAAGCACCTGTAGTGCTCCTTGAATTACTAAACAGCAAATGTAAAAAATGAGAGTAGAAGCATTTTCAGAATTCCGCACAAGCAAAACTCGCAGTTCATAACAAACTGCTAAAGGTCTTTAGAATTGTATCGTGGAAACATTTTGCCAACTATGCACTAGATTTAGTAACAGACAAAACATTCGTTTCATGCACCTCGCCCAGAATTTCATACCTCATACGTCACTTCATTTCTCCTTTCTGGGGCGTAGTAGGAACTGAACACCGCCAGCTTCTCGATTCCTCCTCTCATGACTTGCTCGGTGGGTGACTGTATTATTGCAGGTTAAAATTCGATGTTTTTCATGTTAGAAGTTGGCAGTGCACAACTTTCTTCAACAAAAAAGTCATAACGTAAAGCTCACAGGGTTAGCAATCATTCTCATATTGAAGGATAAAATGAGGGCTTGCGTAGTTTCTGGTTCCACCGAACTTTCAACCAGTATCACTTCAACTCCCTGCAACAATATAAGTTAGCTCGCAACGTCCGGGAACTTAAAATTTAAACCTCCTAATCTGACGCAAGAATGTTTAATAAGGAAGGTAATTATAAGAATTAAATTTAGGATAAAATATGCTTCATGTTGAACTGAAAGTGTCATGATGTTATGGCAAGATATGAAACACAGAAGATTCTCTGACCTGCAAGTCGCAGTCGAGAATGATACTTGTGGGAGGTGTTTCAGAGTCCTGAGTAGCGGCATCAGTAGCTTTGGCAGCGGTTGTTTTTGGTTGTGTTCCA